AATATTTAAATTATTCCTTGATTTGAAATGAACAACAGTCGAGTCAAGTGATACATACAATGTTCCAAGTTTAGGTATCCTGATATTGCTTTTCTAAAGTGCCTTCAACGCGACGTTAAGCACACGCCAATTTAGACATCCATTTCTATTAAATATCCGCTTGAAACCAGGTTAATTAAATTCAATTCGAGTAAATTGTGTATGAACAGAAATTCGTGGGACCAAGGATAAAGCAACCTGAAGGATAAACATAAAATGAATATATGTTAATAAAAATATAGTGATAATATTTGTAAATATATTTTCTCCTTCAAACAGACTATATACTAAAATAGTAAGTTAAAATATAAGTGTTCTCATGTGTACGAATCGCAATGTGTATACGGTATTGTAGTGCAACTCCACGCGCATCTTGCATCGCGGTAAATTAATCTGGTTAGAATAAAAGCCGTCAGCGATGCGTTACAAATAGAACGTTTCTTTCAATTTACATCGACCGCGGGTTGCTTTGCTAATTATTAACCAAGAGATTCTCTCTCAATTATGCGCTGGGACGTTGACCTGCCTGTTTGCAAATGTCCCGACAGTGAAAACTAGAGTTTATCGGATACGGATAGTAAAAGATCGATTGAACAATAAGAGTATGTATGTATAACGCTGCGTTCTCGTGTGCGAGTCTAGACAGCCGGCCGTGCCATTTTATGGTCGCCTTATGCCAAAATCCTATTCCGAGAATATAACCGCATGGACACCGCGTACACGCCCATTTATGACTTACGTAAAATTTATTCCATTGCGTTTATATCTCGCGTGGATTATTTCCCTGTTTCGGTAATAATATTGAAAATTGGAGGAGAATCGAAACTTGTTACAAATGTTGCTCAGTTGTATGCTAGTTACACTATAACAGTAATCCATCCTAAACCATGTACTATATGTACTGTAGATTTATTCATTCTTGTCAAATATAGTTCTGTTATATACATATAATCTGTTATATATGATATAATCCGGTATATTTTTTTACCATTTATCTCTTAAATTTCGTCACTGTTAAGTGCATATCCAAATACAGTGGCAACATTGATGGAAATTTATTAATACAACTGTGTATTTCAGCAACCGCGTCCGTCAACCTTGCTTCGTTTATTTGCTATATTCGGCTATTTTTAACGTTCGTTACACCACTCTCGACTCGTGCATAACAACGCAGCTTTCGTTGGTTGTTCGTGGAAATTGGAAAAAAACCGTGGAAATCGTGGAAGAAAACCGTAAAAAAGTGAAATCAATATGATTATTGAAATAAGTATATAATATATAATAGTATAAAAATAAATATAAATTAATATAAAATTTATATGAAACTTTATACATAATAAAAATAACGTTCAGATAATCTAAACAAGTATTATATGTATGTATCCCTTCTACATACATTTTTGATGTATGATGTAGGAGGGACGAGCTAATGGTTTAGCAGAGACAGGTTCATTGCAATTATAAAATAAGAATAATATAATGGAAAAGTAATAAATTTTTTTAATGATAAACACTTGAAACGTAAACACGATGAATATGTTTAACTGCAATATATGGAAATACATCAGGTAGATTTTCAGCATTTCATGGTCCTTCGTTTATTGCTTTATGAGCACATTCAAAGGGACATTAGCAGGTAAAGTGTTCTTGTGTATCTCGAATTTAGTTGTAACTATAACAATACACTAGGTCAAAGAGGCACTCGTAAACGCCACCAATTCTTTCAATATTTTCCCTATGATTATCTTTTACAAATAAAAATATACAACAAGTAATTATTCGTCTTGTGAATTTGATATTCACATGAACGTAACTAAAGAAATAGCGTAGAATCTCATAAACATCATTATTAATTTAACAGTGAAGTTTTTGCTAGAAAAGTTATCTGTTGCAAACGAAAGACTAACATTCGAAATTTAAATGTTTCTTTAATAATTCTATGCGAAACATAGTACACTTACACTGTTCCAAATAAACAGTGTATATTATAATTGTATATTATACTGTTTGAGTCTATTATTTACACTGCGACAAATACAAGAAAATTAGATATTCAAAAAATGGAAGTTATAGATGAAAATAACATAGAGTTAGCCTATTTTGTTATTACAAGTTCTAATAGAAATTGTAATTTCGTTATAAATTTGTACACACCAACGTTTCAGTAAAGATTATCTAGAGGAACTTACTTTATAGACGCAGTTTGTAGTCTGGAGATTTTTCAAGTCACCGACCTATGTTATAGGAGATCATCTTCTGTCTTGAACTGCAATAGTAAATGTTCTTCCTTTCACACGCGTTGCTACTTATCAACTCTTATACGACGAAAACACAATAATTCTTCTCACACATAAATTCCTCGCGACTGTGCGAAAGAAAAATTCGTGGATAAAAATAATACTGGCAAGAGGACGAGAGAGGTATACAAGAGACCTGCCTCCTACCGTTGTCGTTCGAAAACTCATGGTGCGAGCTTGATACGATCGTGTGCTTCTTCCCCCACTCCGATGGAGTTAATCGTGGTGGAGAAACCCCTTGTGTTGTTCGTATTTCGAACCTGACTCTTCGTGTATACACGAATACACATGTACGCAAGAACATACACTATCGTTCAAAAGTTGAATACACCTATTAATGATGAAGGATTTCTCAATTTCAAACGTATCACCTTCGCTTTTGTTTTGTACATGCATTTGTTTTATGTTTGTGTATTATATTTAAAGTTACAGTAGAAAAATGTAACATACGTTATAACATCATATGTTACCTATCTAAAACAATTTTACATTACCTTTATAAATTTTTAATTTATATCATTACAACTTCGTTATTCTAAATTTATGTGTAACTTGCAAATAAAGTATCACAAATACTTTTGCAAATACTTTATGAATTTTGAAGAACATCTACTGTATTTAATAATGTCTGACAGTAATGTCTAATTACGTTAACAAAAAAAGTTGTATAATTACCATAATTGCTTTCTTAAGACGTCCTGTTTTTTTGTATTTTTCGGATCTTTCGAAACAAAAGTTTCGTGTCAGCCAATTCCAAGTAGACCTTGCATCCTAAAACTTTTGACGGTTAGTGTATGTAGATACACACACAGACTCAAACGGAACGTAGTCATTAGATATTCACGAACCGTGTATGTACGACATAGAGCAGGTGCTCCAAGTTTTTCTATAAAAAATTCGTCTTTTTTCCACTGCAAATAAATACGACCGTCACAAACGTATTACTGATAAGTTCAATTAAATGCAAAGTAATAATTGCATACGCAGAACTATTGTAAAATCATGGCTACCTGAAGCAATATACGTAATCGATATAGAGATATCGATTTATACATAAGAATCGCTTTTCAATAGGAATATCTTGGGAATTTATCCCTAGAAATAACTTTATTTCAAAATACTCGATTTTACTCGTTGCTTATTTCAAAATTTTAACGTTTCTTTATTATTTTCATCATTTTCAGAAATTCTGTATAAAAACCTCCGGTTTTAGCTTCGATTATAACTTGTATTGATTTTATGATCTATGTAGTAACACGTTATAGAAACTACCTGCAGATCGTTAAAGATCACTAGAGAGCACGCTATGTGAAATTATCAAAAAATTCGTGACGGTTATTGCCGTGCCAGCGAGGAGTGTAGATTATATGATAGGACGTATACGTATAGTATTACATTACATGAATATCAGTATACATACGTGCACGGTAACTATGCACACGTACATAACTATGCAACTGTCCGCTTATCTACATAATACGATCCGCGTAATCGCGACTTCATTTTTCTGGAAATATCAGATTGACTTCAAATAGCTTTTAATAGCTTTGCAATTTAAAAAAAGAAAAACTGTAAATTCTTTCAATCAAGCTTGATTTGTAAATATCGTAGCTTACACTTTTTCCTTAAAAATATATATGTACACTGCAAAGGATTTTTAGATGTTTTCAATTTTGTCGTCTACTGTATCAACATATACTTGCTTGAAATGATTTTCGGGATGACACGTAACTTTTCACGTCCCTTCGTACTTGGTTTCCTTTTGCAATGAAAAGGATCTTTATACTGCTCCCCCTTTCTTTTGGCCGCCCTTCGATACACGTGATTTGTTCTACAACACACTTCCATGAATAAGTAACGTGACAGACGAGGAGACTATATTAGAATAGGAGGCGGGACCTTAGGGCGCCTCACGCAACACTGCCTTACTCGTAAGTACATACACGTGTTTCTTTGCAGTATTAAAGCCTTCGTTATCTGGTGGATTTACAGATCGTTCCATATTCTAATTACATGCATGAATACATATAACGAAATATCATTCTTCGTAATAACAATATCCAATCACACTTAAAACATAAGAATAATGTATAAGATTGTTATTTTCTAAAACTGCGACTAAAAGTTTGTGCACTTAAGTTTCTCAATAGAAATACACATTAATCACAATTACAGTATTTGGAAAACATTTGAAAAATACCCACGATTTCCAAAAGAGGATACGCTGAAAAATTGATACTTTAAACTACCTTCCGGTTTCCAGGATTATGCAATGCACGTACAGGAAACTATTTAATATTCCTCCAAGTCATAAGCACGTGTATTTGGTGCGTAAAATACGTGACAGAACTTACGTACCTATGTCTCATAAATTATCATCGATGTGTGACGTTTCTTAATTTATGGATCCTTGTAATAAAAATATAATTTCATAATTAAAATGTACACACACGTTAAATTTTATGTAACATCGATAATTTAAATGAATTTCAATTTTTTACCAAAGTCCTATGTCGATCATGAATAGTAACGAATAAACAGTTTACTTTCAGCCAGTTTAGTTTCGAAATTTCTTCAAACATTTCTTGTTTAACGTAAAAATGGTACGAACATTCTTTCGAATTGGACGTCGCCGCAGTCGATTCCGTTCTAGTGGCGCTCTTGTCGCGTTAGAGCGAGTAACATCCGGCCACGTTAAAATAGTTTGTTTGGTTAAAATATTGGCCGGGTTTTTCCTCTCGACTGATTGAACAGTGCGCCTTTAAAATTTTTTTCCTCTCAAAACTTAAATGCAAATAAACTACGAGAGATAGACGAACTAACGAAGAATGAACTACTGGTCGATTTGTTTGCTGTTTGTCTCGCTGTTTGGCACGATATTACGTACTGGCGGTGTCGAGCTCTCGTTCGAACTACCTGACAATGCGAAACAGTGTTTCTATCAGGAAATTGAAAAGAATGAGACGGCGATGCTCGAATTCCAGGTATACAAATTACGTATTGTCCGATAGGATAGCTCTTTCGTTGGTATGCAGTTATTAAAATGAAATTTTCACGTAATACTTACAACTTGCTTCGACGCAATAGTGTCAATCATTTGTCATTGAAGACTAAAATCTGACACGTCCACTCAAGGGATTCTTTTTTTTTTTTTTTTTATAAAACACAAAATGACATAATATCAATCGAAAAAAACTTCTTTTAGGTCGTGACCGGTGGACAATACGACGTCGATGTAATTCTAGAAGCACCAAATAAAGAAGTCATTTACAGACAAATAAAAACGCAGTTCGATTCGCATCAATTTACAGCATCCATGACAGGAGCTTATAAAGCCTGTTTTAGCAATGAATTCTCAACGTTTTCACACAAACTGGTTTACATGGATTTTAGGGTGGGCGAGCAATATCCGCTTGGGGAGCATGTAACTGTTATGACACAGGTAATATTATGTATTGTATATTGTACTATTCTAAAAGAGGAATATATGTCATATAAGTATTTCTTTCTTAGATGGAGTCTTCGGCTCAGGAGATACACAAGAACTTGAATAATATTTTGGACTACCAAACGCATCATCGATTAAGAGAAGCACAAGGTCGCAAACGCGCAGAAGATTTGAATACTCGTGTGCTTGTATGGTCTGTTATGGAAACGCTGACAATTTTGATCATATCAGTGGGACAGGTGTTTATCTTAAGGACCTTTTTCACAGAGAGGAAACGTTAATACATTCATTAGTGCATCTGCAAGTAATAATACTTTCCTTGTGCGCAATAAAGTAACTAATCTGTCGGATCAATGTGGAACAATGCCGTCATATTTAATGTTTCACAAATTCTACCAATTATGGTGCCATGGTAATTTTGGCCAGTTGTTTGTTACGTCCATTTGTTTTGGACTCAAAAATACAAGAATCTAGACAGATAGAGTAATTTAGTAACAGAAACACGTGGTTTCCCCGAGTATGAGAATGTTGTGTATGCGCGTATTCATGAGTGTATAATTTGAATTAAGTTATATAAAACCTAGGGTATTTTTATATGAAACCTAGGGCAAATACCTGCTCTATTATGAGTAATAATGAGAAATGTAAAATTGGGCAGTCTCTTCTAATTCTTAAGTTAACAGTACTTTGTTATTGACAGTGTAACATCGTCGTAAGAAACACATTTTTCTTACTGTGAATGTGAAATAATAAACTAGACAATTTGCGCGTATGAACGTGTTACTTTCTACAATTTTCCCATCTTGCTAAGGATGTAATTAATGTAATTTGTTACGCTTGTACTTAATGTATTAATTGACAAATAAAGAAAATTCAAATTTGCATTTTGTACAGAGAAATACACGTGTGTGACAACTTTGAGCACTTTAGAGATGAAATAAATTTTCTTTCTTTCTACATATCTCTTTCTCTCTCTCTTTAATTTCAATTATGTATACTTTTTTGTTTTATATGACATTGGTTTAAAATGAAATCTTTATATCTTAATAATTAATCCTGTCTCTTTTTTAAATATAATTCATAAAAATATGATTTTAACAAAAATGTAAAATATAATTGTACTTATATATGAGCCATTTCATATAGAAAATATAATATAATTATTGATGACATGTACTAATTGGCTATTAAAGTATGTAGAATATATATTTTTTTACACGCATCATAATATCAATAATAATCGATTTAAATTCCGTTGTTACAGAAATAGACAGTATATATATATATCCTTGAGACAGCCGGTGTTACAACATTATTGTTAGAGTCACTTGAACATGCTGGAACAACACGAAGAAAGAGTAACAGCTGTTATAACCTATTAACAAAAAATATAAATAAATATCAGCAAAGCTATAAAAATTTTATACCATGGAGGTAAGTTTTTGTATTCCTTATTCTCATTTAATATGATTCATACAATTATAATTGATGTTATATTTGATTTAGGAACAAGATATTCCTATTGATATTAATACTGGAAAATTATTGGAATGGTTAATCAACAGAAGACATTGCACTAAAGATTGGCATGTAAAGATTTTAATTATCAGAGAGAAAATTAATAATGCAATACAAGATATGCCTATTCACGAAGGAATTGCAAAATTATTATCTGGTTCACGTATGCGATACAAATACTTGACATTTTAATATGTCCATATTCTTTGATATTTATTTAATTTCTATTTTCTTTCAGATATAAATTATTTTCATTGTTTGAAAATAGTAGAAATATTGAAAGAAACTGAAGCTGATACAAAAAATGTATTTGGAAGATATGGCTCTCAAAGAATGAAGGACTGGCAGGAAATATTAAGGTTATATGAAAAAGACAATGTATATCTTGCAGAAGTTTCTCAAATGCTTATAAGAAATGTTAACTATGAAATTCCAAGTACTAAGAAACAAATTCAAAAGTTGGAGCAAATTCAAGCTGTATATATTCTATGTATTATTACACTTTAATATTATATATATCTATACTATTACACTTTAATATAATATATTTTCACTAGGATTTAGAGAAGAAAGAGGCAGATTATAAAAAGTCAGAAAATGCATCTAAGTCAGAATTTAATTCACTTTGTAAGCAGTTAGGTATACCAGGAGAGCAAATTAAGCAGGAATTAGCTGAGAAAGTAAAAGAACTTCCAGAAATTTATGATAAGATAGCTAAAAAGACAAAATCATTAGAAAAAGCTGTGGAATATTATTGCGGTTTTGTTAATTATACTCTTGGTAGAGAACATGATGGTGGTTGTGTTCCTATGGTGAAATACGTAATTGGTATATTGAATTTGTAAAAATATTTTTTTCAGAGTATCATTCATGTATTGAATTAAATATTATAAATTGATTAGATAAGGGAAACACTACTACATATGAATGGATTTATGGAGAAGCTCCATTATCAATTAGCGAACCACCTTTAAACATAAACTTAGATAATGAAGATTTAGAGAAAAAGAAAGTTGTGGATGTCGATAATACTGTATGCGAGCCATTATAAAATATTGCAAATAATTTAACGAATTTTTCTAAATTGTTTTCTTAATTATTTTAGGGAATTGATTTTGGAGAAATTGATATAAATGGCGATATAAATTTCGGCGATGTTAATTTAGAAGTTGGAGGCGAAATTGATTGGGGCAATGGAAATCTAGAAGAAGCTGTTGCTGGAGATATTGATTACAATATTTCTTTAGAAGAATCTGGTATAGTAGTGGAAGCAGCTGGTCATGAAGGTGGAAATGCCACTGGTACCGAAGCATATACAATCCTTGACAACCCACCTACTAGAGACGATTTTATTAATCAGTTATTTGAGCTAGAAGCATTTCTGAAATTACGATTATATGAGTTTAAAGGAGATAACAATGTAAATTTCTTAAGCTTCAGTCAGTTCCAAGAGTCATCTTCTATTGTACAAAACTCCACGCTGGAAAATAGTCAGAATATGTTAGATAATGTCCATGTTATTTTATCTGAAATTTTGAATACTAAAGTTCAGCATTTACACAACATCAAACATTCTATAAGGTAAACAGAATTGATGTAATATCCTTATCATTTATACATTATTTTAAAGAAAAATTACAATATTTTTTTTTACAGATATGTAGATGTTTTAACTTCATCATTAAAACAAAAATTAAGTTTAGTTGATAAAATGATAGTTTTACAAAACTCTATGAGAGAAAAACGAGAAAATTTCGCAAAAGAAGTTTCTACTATTCGACCTCTTCTTCAACTTCTTATACAAAGAACAAAAGAATTACAAACAGAGGTATCAATAATTTTTCATTCGTAAATTTTAATAAATGTTAATATATTTTTATTTATCAAGTTTTTCATATTACTTACAGATTGAGAAAGATATTTCAAAGAAATATAAAAATAGAATTGTACATTTAACCGGAGGTATAAATATGTTGTAAATAATTAAAATAAAAAGCGTGTGAACTTGTAAATAAGATTTTACTGGAAAAAAGGAAAAATGGGTCGTATTATACAAATAACTTACTATATACTGTATTTTTTATACATTTTAATGAATACTTGCTAAATTCAATGTGTATTGTCTTGTTACTTTATAATGTTATAGAAAAATTTGTACCTTTTATTATAATAAATGTTACAATATTTATTAAACTACACTTCTTGTCTTTGGCATGAACACAATATTATCAAATTATAAATTAACTCTCAATTCAATTTTATAATTCTATACTGATAACTACATAATCATAAAAAGATTTTGCACCAATCTCCAAGGTGAAGAAGTACATACAGCTTTGGTTGTGGGGCACGGATAACGTTTTAAACATTCGGCGAATGAACGATCGCATTCGCATAATCGCTGAGCACATGATCCAGATCCTCCCCAGTTTCCATGCTCAACAGCTACAATAGAGAGAGAAATGTACTATTAAATGAATGTAAGTTCTTTAAATAAGGATAATGTCTTCTATGTAGCTAACCACATATTGGTTTATATCCATGATAACATCTCCAATAATATGGTACAAAGTATTCTGAAAACGTTGGACAATCTGTGGCATCATAACACCAATCATGCATTTTACAGCACCTATAAGAATTATTAAATGATAAACTATGTTACATTTTTCATTTATCCATAGAAATCTTACCTATCTATCTCATCTATTACATATCCTGAACCCAAAAAACCACAGTAGCATCCATATCCCTTGTAAGCTAAAGGATTGCATCCAGTGGCGCATACTACCATATTGTACAAATGTATCACACCTCTTTTGAATCTCTTGTGTGTTAAATTCTGTTCATTGTACATTCTAAAACAATATACGTCTTCTAAATAACTCAAAATTATTTTTCTTGTAGAAATAAAAAATTCTTTATTAAAAAAAAAAAAAAAAACAGTAGTACTATATTAAAGTAAAAATTGATTGCAGAATATCGAAAGTATCAAACTCACGATAGTTCATTATATTTTGTACGATTGTGTGTAAAGTTAAAAGATGGAGATTGATGTATATAATTATTCTTCTTCTGGTGTTGTATAGATATCGAACTCCATGTTTCATTATTTCGTCTTATGTGGAGGTTTTCTTTTTCCCAATCATCTTTTATATAGTTGGACAGAAGTTTATCTTCGGGTAATTTGTACGTTTCTTTATTTCTAATTAATTTCTGAGTATTTCGAGTATTCCTGGCTATAAAAAAAATCCTTGACAAAAATTGATATAAACAACGTATTTTAGCAAACAATAGATTCGTAGTAAGATATTAAAAAAAAAGGATCGAAAAAAAAATTTAGAAAGAAAATGTTATATAAATATTTAAGAACATATCAACTCAAGTCTCTTAATGACTGCTCTGCACAAAAACTTCTTAGCATAATTTAAAAATTAAGCTAAATAAATAAACCTAAGATAAAAATAAGATCAAAATAAAATAATTTTGAAGACAGCATAATTTTAAAATTATCTTTAAGATAAATTATTCATTGCACGAAACGTACTTGTGCTCGTTTACTGTCATTACAAATTTATTTCACTTCCTGTCAAGTTAGTTCTCTCTAAAATTATTCTAATTTCTCTAGTAATTTCATGGTTCGTCATCGCACATGTATATACAATTTCTATGGAATTTACATATGTAAAATATACCCATTAGTTTTAGAAAATTATATATTCTAATAAAAATCTGTAATACGAATCATTTCTTTCTGATCCACTTGTTGATTTAAAAGCGCACGAAAATACACACATTTTCAACTATTCCGTTCTTTTCTTTCACGCTTACTGAACCACGATCTCCGGCAACGAGACACACTTACGTCTACGATACATCTTTCAATTATGCCATTGAAAAACTTACTTGCAATAATAAACGCAATATTATTTTAGAATTTGTTTAATGTTAGAGATTCAAAAAAAGAAAAACACAACTGAATTGATGAATACTATGAATTCAGTTCTTGGGAAACTTAAGAAGAGATATTAGAGTAAAATTATTTTATTAATTAAGATTGATACGACATGAAATATGTAATGTAATATTATAGAGTAACATCTTTTGTTATTAATATTATCACATACCACGACTTTCATAAGAAGGCAATGTTACGAGTATTGTAAGAAAAAATATGATGAAGATCCTTTGATGAGGTATCATCCGTGGCCGATGAGAAATCAACACGGCGTTGATCCTTTTGTTACTCATCGAGTATATCTATTCACATACGTATGTATTCAAATGCGAAAATGAACTTTTAATGTCAGCTGCGAATCCTGAACTCATTCAACATGTTACGATCTATGGGTTCTTCCAGTATTGGAAAATCGCAGTGTTTCACGCGTAAGCGCATTATTCGTTATACATTGTCAATCACAAGGAACCCATTCAAACTTGATGAACTACAAAAATGTATCAAACAGAAGTGTCTTCTTCGAAATTAATTATTATTTTCACAGAATCTCGAACGAAGATCGTCACGTGAAATTCTCTAACATCAAAGAGAAGTCTTCAGTTCTCATTTAAGATTCATTCATTTATAAAATCGTCAACTCTTATGTTTAAACGTGCAAACCATTTTGCACAATTCCAAACTTTTGCCACTTTTGTGAATATGGAAATATTTCTGCTTTATAAGACAATCGTTCAGACTTTGTTCCACACTGTATAATTCACACTGTTCTTCAAAGTTGAATTCAAAATCCTGGTCACTGGCACACTCCAGTCCAGTCTTATCAAACGCTCCTGGTCCATTGGTTCCCTCTACAGGAAGATCCACTCTTTTCTACCACGAAACATTTGTTTCTTCGACCCGTGATTCACTATTTTGTTGAACCCCGTGACCCCGAGTCTCTTCGTTGCAGGAACGGAACTTCGACTGATCCTCTTTATCCAGGAGGACAGACACGGGACGCTTAGCCGCGCTCTGAGAAACCTACTGTTATACTTTCGACGATTTCCTTGAAGCCGTGTATACCTGCTCAACATGCGTTCACCTCTTATTTACCTTTTACTCGGCTTTTATCCATCTTTTATCTATGTCATCGTCCGGACATTTTCGTCTTCTTTTATCACAGACGTATTCTCGATGGTTAGAGCTTCTGAGAGAACAAACGATGGCTACATTTAACTCGATTTTACTTGTTACTTTTTACTGCAAGAAGTTACAAGAGTAAGTGAATTTTATTTTTGTTTCAGATCCTTTATTCTTCACCTCTTCATCTTGGAACGTTTGTTAACACAGTGAAATACGTTTTTGTAAAAGAAAATAGGTAACGAAAGCTACGCACTTGAACCGTACGTTCTCATTTTTGTAAGATGAGATTTCATTGTAGATATCAGTTAATTTTTAAGTAGTCCAGATCTCTCCCAGGGCAAGGGGTTAAAGAGCAAGCGTGAACGACGATGTAGAGATTCTTTCTAGTATCTTCAAATCCTCTGCAACTTTAAATAAAAATTCCTTTCACGATTTTAATATATATATGTATGTAAATGTAATACAATGATATAATTTTCACTAAAAGTCCAACGTATCGGTCATATCCGAATAGCGAGTTATTGAGAATAGTAAATTTACCCATTGACCGACTGGCCGATATAATTTGAACTTGCAAAATGGTAGATTCCAGCTGGTTTGTGTTTACTAGTATAGTGAATGGATAAGCTACGTTGGATCTAGCGGTACTTGCTAGATGCAACAGATGCTTGATGCACACGTCTGAACAATTTAAAAAGTATAAAAGAAACAATTGATTACTACTTATAGCAGTTGATGCACATGTCTAACAATTTGAAAAGTACAAAAGAAACAATTGATTACTACTTATAGTAGCTATGAAACCTCAATCTCTCAAAATAACACCGTGGAATTTCTTGATATTTCTCTATTTGCCTTCACATTAAACGAAGAGAAGGAAATAACTTTCTTCCGGCTTCTTGATCCACTGTGTGAAGCTTCCAAAATGGTAAAAAACTGTTTCGAGTAATCGCTGTGTAACAAGTTCATCTCCTCATTAATCATTCAAATTAAATCTCCCTTGATAAAATTTAAAGAAGTAATTACCAGGAAGTCCAGCTTTCGTTTCGCGACAATGCCTCTAACTCCGATTTCAAAGTCGGATCCTTCCACGTCACGAAGGTAAACAACCGTGGCAGGAGATTCATTCACCCGCAGGGAATTGCAAGATCACACGCTTGTGCACAACTGATAAGCGACAAATAGAACAATGGCCCGTCGAAGAATGAACGTCGCGAATGGTTTCACCGGCGTTAAGTATCGTTTGTTGGCATTGCCGCAGGTTATTGTTTCCTGAATTACGACAGCCCTCCGGGAATCGATGAACCCGTGAACACGATTTGCAATTATTTTGGCCAAGCGTGACGACACGATTCGAACGTAATTTCTCAACAAGGTGTTGAGCAAGGTTTACGCAAGAATGGTTAAGCTCACGACAATAAACGATCAATTATCTCCACGTTTGATCGTTAAATTTTCTTGCCACGCATTGTAAAAAGGAAAGAATCTTTTTATAACTACAATTTCGCCTTTTGTACACGCGAAATTGTTTCCTATAAATGTTTTCCAACTGCAGCAACATTTTGTTTAATAAAATAACGTTGCTTGCCACTCGACGTTTGATAGCTCCTCCTAGGAAATGCGCGTTAATCTCCATTGCGTTTCGAGAAATTTTATTGGACATCTGTATTCGTGAAACGACTGTTAAAGGTCTACGAACGAGCATCGTGAGAAAGTGGTCTCAGAAGAATGCGAATCACAGAGAGAAACACGGGCGAATTGGTTCGCACGCAATCCATCCATTTAAGGTTGCACAACCTAAAAAAAGAGATTTGCCATTTGTCAGTGAACCAAGCCAATCACTTTATTTGTCACGACAAATGTACATTTCAACACTTCGAAATGACGTATCCATTTCATCAGAGTTTGGAAATTATCATTTGTCGACAATTATTATTTGATTGAACACTTTACCTTGACAATCACGATCGTTTCTCCCTGGAAAAATTTTCAGTTCGCTCAGTAATTATGTAAATTAAACGCTGATTATCGCTCTCAAAAGTAGACCGCCTGTGAAACCAAGTGTATCGTAGCGTAATTTTGCCAGGGCGTATCAAGGTTCTACTCATTTTACCCTGAATTCAAGACAGGTGATTCTAACGCTACGTTATCGTCCAATCAATTGTATACTTTCACCCGGTTATCAAATACAAAACGACAAAACAGTTCCAGAAGATGCAACAATTCATTTGCAATTGAGTAAAATTTTTCAAGGCAGCAAATTTCTAAAAAATTTGTTCGTTGTATAATCTAAGGTATAAGTAAATGAGTATTAAAATTTATCAACTAATTACATTATTACTTCAAGAAATTAAAAAGAAACTTTTTCACAAATAACTCGACAATACTAAGATCGGACATTTAAATTGAACTTACAGCATGTGCTAATATAAATCACATAATAATGTTCATTGAGGAAAAAATGATACATGCATGCAGAAAATCTTATTCTTGTAACAGCTTGGAAAATTTCGAGAGCGAGTAAAAAGTTTCAAGCGTAATCTGGCAGAGAATCCGCTAAAAGGTGTAATTGCGTTCGATCAATTGGCTCGGTCGGTTTCCAACCGACGAAATTATGCAATTTTCGTGCATTTACTTTCAATGTCGAGGTGGGCATTAAGAGCGGGCCCCATTAACTTTCGTTCTTTTTCAACGCTTTCTTGTTCCCCGATACAGAGCGATTCTTTTCACTTTGCTGTTACGGGCGTTCTTAGAAAATGTTTTCTGTCCTGACTTTTAGGCATCTGTTTAAAACGAAATGTAAAAAATGAGCTTCCTAGCAACGAATTTCGCAAATGATCACAGCTCTCTGACTATATATAGGGTGGCCACTGAAAAACTCATAGGTTTAAAAGAGCCCGTATTTGTCAGCAGGAAAATGGTGGTTATTTGAGGGATGTTGTTTTTCACGCATAACACTGAAAAAAAATCCATTAATTATATTTCCAAATAAAATAATAAAAAAATTTAAAAACATGTGTTTGTAAAAGTTACTTTTGTTTTAATCAGTCTTTCAGTGACCACCATATATATCTATAGATTATACATACCTCCCTCAACTTATTCTTCTTGTTAATACTTCTTCATTAATACAAAATCTATCCATGAAAGATGATAGATTTTATTAATTGAGATTAAAATATCTCTTCTAAGCTAATAGTTTTTCGACATACGTAGGGTGATACTTTTTTTTTTAGAGAGAGAGCGTCAAGCAGTATTGATTAATGAATCAAAAAATATATCACTCCATTTAAAAAAAAGGAAAGGACCTTCATCTGATCTTTACGCGTTCACCTAAAAAAAAAGCTAATTTACTTACAACAGATTGTGAAACCATGAGCTCTCTTTTTGTATAACAAATATTCTACGTGTATAATTTCCATTTATATACTAAAATTGGTCAGCCTGTTCCGATGAAATATTGCTAGAATTAAGTATTCTGATTACTATAATTAAGTATAAATATTCCACAATTTCATCTTTCAAAAAACTATAGTCAACGCATACCTCGAATTTTAACAAGAAAGTTTCGATCATTCCATTCATTAAAACCGTTCGTTACAATTCAAATTTAAATAATAGCTGTGAAGTTGTTCACTTGTTGTTCCTTCTTTATTTACTTGCTTGCTTCTCTGTTCCAAGATGGGATATTTCCTGTTTCTTTTTACATCGTTATAGGTTGTAAAGTAGAAGCATTTTAGAGTTCAGAGGATGTGAAATATTTTGAAAGCATGTGAACAATACGTACTCGTGGAACACATGGGATCTTGTTATCGAAGGAGATACATTGTTCGCATATGCACGTTACTCTTTAATTAGATTTCACTCTATAATCAAATCTCGGCCCATCTGGACCCATTGAAGAGTGCGATAGCGCAAAATTAAAAAGAAAAAAGTAAAAAAAAAAAAATAAATTTATCAAAAAGATCTGCCATCGTAAAGAAATTTAATTAACATCTTCTATCTTCTTTATAGAACGCTCGTATGAAAACTTTGTTACACGTTTCTTTTTATCTTACTTTTTCGAGAATCGCTTATTCTTCGTTTTAGGATAGAAAAGAGGAATTGCTGAAGTGGGACAAATTTTGAAGGTCATTGAGATCCTTAACTTTTGAAGTCTCGTTTCCGAGTTTGTAATGTCTTTTCTCATTAAAGAGTAAAACTCTCACTCTCTTTCTTTCTACACGCCATCTATCCTCGCAAAAAGAAAATAGCAAAAAATACTACCTACAGAAAATTAAATAATTCATTCAGCACATTGAACAATTTTTAATTTATTGTAAGACTAAAGAATTCTTATACATCGTAACGTTATATATGCAGTTACAATGTATGAGGATATCTCTTTTTCGTGTTCTTTATTTTCTATATTTTATGTTTGATTTTGATGTAACGAATTATATATTTATGTATAATTACTTGTATATACTTATATATATTCTGATTTATATGTCTTTATATACTTGTATATATTCTATTTAATCATTAGACTCTTAAAATAATCATTAAAATTTATCTTACAAAGTAAAATGGATGCTTTTAAAATTTTGAATTTGAAATTTATATGACAATGATCCAGCAGGGGGCGAGATGAGAGTCAAAAAATTAAGATCAAAATAAATAAGTTGTTAAGAAGATGTATTAAAAATGTGGAGTGTTACTCATTTCTTATTCAAAATGTCTCACTTAAAGTCACAAAATTTGCACAAGATGAACTGCAAAATTAACAATCGCTATTAATATCATCCATCGAACGATAGTGTTGAACAAGGATAAAACAATTGTTTTAAAATAATTGAAGACTGCTGAACAAACATGTTAAACGTATGTATTTAAATATGAAATTCCATGAAGTTAACTGAAGGAAAATAACAGATTTTAAAGTAAATATATATTAGTTTTTGATAATATCGTAATATAAAAATATAACTGTAACCTAACCTTTATTGCTTTATGCAACATTATTTTAAGATGATAGCGCATAATACGTATCATAAAAAGCAATGTAAAATGCGATGAAAATTTTATACCTATATTATAAATTAAAATACATTTTACAGCATTACTATGACGCGTAAGTGTGTGTTGTGCAAGGAAACCAATTACAGAAACACTTACAGCTTTTTCTCAGCACCAAAAGATCCAGAAACCCGTAAAAAGTGGCAAAATGCCTTAGCTATTGAGAATTATGTTGTTACTGATGACACGTATGTTTGTAGTAAACATTTCCACAAAGACGATATCATTACACATTGGGTTAGTGGAGTACCACCACATGTGATAACTGTAAGTTATAATAATTTTTGTATAAGTTATAATAGTATTTGTAATAGTTATAATAGTAATTGTTATATTACATAAATATCATCACATCACGTAATTTTAACATGTTGTAGATAAAATATAAGAAATGCAGATTGAGACCAGGAGCTGTACCTGGAAGGAGTTATCACCTTCAAGAAAATGCACAAACTCAAGAAAATTCCAGTGATTTTGATAATAATATAAGTAAATTTGATAAAATAAGTACAGTAATAAAGAAAGAAACAAATTTCCTCATACCTAGAACTGAAGAGAAGTCACAAGTAAATAATGATGAGAATCGTAAAGCTACATATTTGAATTATCAGTCTTATCGTAATGTTAATGATTATGTACATAATTCAAAGCAAAACTTTTCAAATAAAATGGAATTATCAGAAAATGTTTCAAATGTAAATGGATCTACATTTAAAGAATCTCTAAAGCAAAATTTAAACCAAGTAAAACAGAATAAATCAATGGTTTTTATGGAAAACAGTATTAATATTCAAGAAGGTGGTATCGATATAAAGGAAGAACGAATGGAAGATATAAACTCTGAAGACAAAACAGAAAAACAAAGTCAAATATCCAAAGAGGATTCTTGTTCCTATATATCCAAGAAAGTTTCACTCTCAGGTTTTCAGTCATCTTTTAAAGATTATATTTCCGAAGAACGTGAAACAATGAAATGGAAAGCAATGAAAAAAAGAAAACTACCAGATGATAATTTTGAAGCAACAAAGAATGTATATATTGAGAATCAAATAATATACAATTTAAACTATGATCAATTGGATAAATATTATCCTATGTGTAATGAAAATGACGAAAATGATGAAAATGAAATGTTGTTTGAAGATTTGCTCGAAGTATGTACAGAAGTATTATTACCACGTGGTTGGTCTTGTTTAGTAACGTCAAAGGGCCACACAACGACAATTGTATATTTATGTATGGGAATGACGAAAAGTGGAATGCCTTTTACAGAAAAACAAGTGTTTATAAAAAGTGATATGATGTTGCATTGTGCTGTTGTAAATAAAGAAATTAATCCACTTATTTACAACCTTATAAGAGCAGGAAAACATTTACAAGTACAAAACTTATTAGATATAGAAGAACTTATTGATGAATTTGATCGAAGGACTATTTGTCAAGGTATTTATATATATGTATCTCTTTTACTTACATCTTTTATTATTTATTTTATGTCATTAAGAAATAAATGTTTTTTTTTCAATTAGGTATATACAATACTGAGAAGTTCCAAAACATTAATCGTATCATAGTTGCTTATAAAGATGGTATAAAATGGAGACACATTTTATGTCCATTAATAGTGAATACTGATTCACTAAGATGTACAAAATGCATTTCCCTATCTTATTCATTACAGCATAAATCGAAAAAACTTGTATTTTTTCGCAATCCTTCAATATTTACAAAACAGCAGCAGATGTACAGTGCACCAAAAATATAAACAAACAATAAATACAAACAAACCACAAGGATACTGGACATGAATCTATAAATATATTTAAAACAATTTGAAATAAAATTTTTTAAAAAGTATAATTTCTAATTCCGTTTTTTTTATCTTAATTACTTGGATATATTAATAATAAAGGATATATTAATTATTTTCGAAAAACACAAAAAGTATTTAAAAAAAATTTGTATAATTTGCATATTTTTGCTTTATCTTTCAACATGAACATTATTTTATAAACTTTATTATTTATTAATTAAGACGATTTTTTTTTATCTACGAAATTTATGTTTACGTCCTCTCTCTTTCGATTTGTGTTCCTAAAACAATTTATAAAAGTTACTATATTTATATAACGAATTAATATTAAAAAATAGTGTCAATTTTTTTTACCGTGGACCATTCTACTTTTAGTTGTTCTAACATTTTTGGCGTTAGAAGACCTTTAGATACCAACGACTGGCTTAATTTATCTTTTCGATATTTACCTGTAGTACATATGTAATGTAATTATATAAAATTATAAAAAATAAGCAAAATTTTTAATATCTAATAAACTATCATTTATTTCGGTACCTTCGTTGAACTTATCGTCATATCGTGTTTCATTAGATATCTCAAAATCTATGTAATAAAATAAAATATTATTTACTTTATTTTTAATTTTAAAAACAATAAATAGCATAATTGCATACCTGCTTTCGGTTTCTTAAATAATTTTGCAATTTTTTCAATTCCTTCTTCAATAATTTTGTCTAATTCCTCTTGTAATTTTCTAACTGCATCTGCATCAGGAAATAAATCTGGCATTCGATAACTGCAAATAATACAATTTAATACATTGTACATATATAAAAAAAATTTTGTCTTATATTTTCGACTTAGTTTTTCATAGAGAATTATCTCTTTGCTAATTATATTATAATTATTGTACATTGATTAAAATTGTTGTACAATTATTTACCTTAACCACAAGTAGACGTCTAATACATCAAATAAGCTTTCTAAATGTAAAAGCTGAGTAATATTCAATGGCGTTTTAGGAGGCCAATTAATTTGTTCGCGTAACCATAAAATAGTTGCCGGCTCATTTTTACTACATTGTCGAGCATACTGCACAAAAATTAAGTAAAAATGTGAAAAAAATAAATAAAAATATTTTAACAAAGTTTTAAACTCTTATTAATATTTTAATTTACCCTTAAAAGCATACTGCATGACAAAGGTATTTTTCTATTGATTGGTGCACAACAAAACACATATCGTGTACGAAGAGATAAAGGTATATGTTGTATTGTATCAGCAAGAAATTTAAAATCATCCAAATTGCAAATGAAGTACAAAGTATGATCAAGTTCGCATAACGCAATAAAGATATTCTGAAAAAAGTAAGAAATGTATTAAGATCACAATAAATCATAAATATATCATATTTAAATATTACAATGAGATTTGATAACGGTGCATTTGGTAAATAATAGGCATATAATTCTATTTGGTCTGCCGTTGGATGAAGTCCAGCTCGGTGAATTTCTTCTGGGGTTTGCTGCAGTAAATTTTTTAATAAAGGAAGATCTTCAGGTTTAAAAGTTGTTACAAATCCCTAAAACATAAGAGATCAGTAATATTAAACTTCAAATGTTAATAATTTTAAACCTCCATTATCAGATTTCATACTTTCGACCACTGTGTTCCATAACGACCAGCGCGACCTGCTATTTGTAATGCAGACGATACAGAAATTGTGTCAATCTCCACTTCTCCTTTTTCATTGACAGTTGGTTGAGTAATTGAATAAAATATAATTCTTCGAATATGCCTGAAAAAATATTAACTGTCTGCGATCTATTTTTGTTACGCAGTATGAAAAAATTGAAATTTAAAATTATGATCTTACAAATTAAGACCCATTCCTATTGCATTGGTAGCCACTAATACTTTGCAAGGATCATTGGGGTCATTAAATCTTGCAGCTTGTGCTAATTTTGTACCTGGTGGTAAACTACCATATATTACAGCTACTTTATGACCCATTTTTTCAATAACATTTGATACTAAAAATATATCATTTCTACTAAAACAAACTATACAATCTCCTGGTTGAATATTTTTTAAGGAACAGAGTGCCGACTCCTCTATTTCAAGCGAAGTCAATCGTTTATATTCTTTTATTTCTACTGATTCTCCTGTTGTTAAACAAATAGATTGTACCTATATTAACATAAAAACATTAAATAGTTTTAAAAATTTCTAATATTTCAATATATAATTTATCGAGTTGTAGAACATACCATAGGAATAGCAGCAAATTCACCACACAAATGTATTTCATCTGCTGCTAGTCCAAGAAGAGCCCTTGTCCATGCCCATCCTCTACTTGGATCACGTATTAATTGAATTTCATCGATTATTCCTACTTCATCTGTAATGATTATTAAAATAGTCAAATTATTATTTTTATTCAAATTAGTTTTAATAAAATTATATAAATAAATAAATATAAAGGATAATAATATTCTTTCAAATTGTAAATCATAAATTAAATTTACTTACAAACATTTTGTATATTTGCCATTTCTATAGAACATGATGTATGATTTGCAGGGGATTCTGCATTCTTTGCGTATCTGTGTTCTTCTCCTGTTATTAGATCACATGGAGTACCCTAAATTTATTTATGTTTAATAGAGTAAAAATAATAAATAAAATCATCTTTGGCACTAACCATAGAATTACACTTGCTAAAAACTTCACTAGCTAATAACTTTAAAGGTCCACAGTAAACACCACTTTTTGCTGTCATAAATCTTTTTAACGCATGATACGTTTTGCCACTATTTGTAGGTCCAGCATGAAATATAATTTTTCTTTTCTTAGATCTCGCTATAGGATACCTACAAACAACAGAAATTAAAACAAATAAGTTTTTGTGTACGAAGTGGTTTAAGTAATATTAACTTATATTAACTACTACCAATAAGGTGGATTTCTTAAGTCACTGATTTTTCTTAGCTCATCTAAGCAATCAATATGTGGATACATTTGTTTGGCATGTCTTAAAAAATATGGAAATATATCTGTAATATTTCCACCTCCTTTTATAATATCACTTATAATAATATGAAGATCTGTAGGTAACTGTTCAGATTCTATACAATGACTTCGAAAATTTGACATTGCTGAGGTGAAGATTACATCTATAAATAATTAGGCGATTGAAATAATTACAAAATTAACACTTCAATACACAGAAAATACAAGAATAAAAGAATTACCATCTAATCCATATTTTGTACTTAATTCTTTAACTACTGCATGTTTTGCAAAGTCACATAAGATCTGTATCACTTTGTGTTTACTTATAGAACCAGTTAATTCGACACCAACGTTTGCATCATCCACATTTTTCTTTACAGAAACTGGGTGAAATAAATTATTTAGATTCTGTGAATCGTACTTGCTGTATTTTTTTCTTACACTCTGGGTAAACTTAATTCCAGAATCTAATTGCCTAAGGATTATATTTATGAAATAAATCAACGTTATCATTAAGATTCCACTCAATACAGTTCAAAGAATTTTAAATACAACAGAATAAGGTACCTTAAAAATAATGGCACTATAAAATTATTTCGTTTTAATTGTTCTGTAACAAGGTGCATAACTGGTATCATTTTTATGACTAATTCTATTTGCTTTCATATTCTACTATTTATCGTGTAAAAGTCCTAACCCTCGTATACCATGTACCATGTAGAGTAAAAGGTTAAAACGAGTGGCGACATCTTTGTTAGCGAAGTAGATAGGGAAATGTAAGTACTATATAGAGGATAAGTCGCCAATATAATTTTCATTTTGGTTTATTAATAGTGTTAATTTGTATTTTCTATCATCAAAAGCTATACATTGTCTACTTTTTACGTAACGATGGTCATAAGAGTACAAACTTAACATGATTTGAAATATCAGGTAATTTTTCCATTTTGAACTATAAATTTAGTTGAATAAAAATCTATTTTCACGTAGATAAAGTGAGTGGAATGTAGTCGAGATGTATAAATAGCTTTAAAAGATTTTACTTTTAACTGATTCAGTTAAATCGTATTTAATTTTCTTTTTTTTTATTATTATCAATGGCTAGCAGTGTAGGTGTTAAAATTAATTTGTTACATGTTTGTCAATAGTTATAAACTTAGCTAAATATTAATAGTCTGAATATATTCCCTTTAATATAGAAATTCTTACTTGTATTACTATTTTGTAGTAATTTCTGACTGAAGAATTTCATTTATCTCTTGTAATTACAAAAACTATAAAATTACAATTTAATTTATAATAATTGTTGCATTTTCTTTTAATTTTTGAAGAAAAATTGTTTCATTTTTGCATCATATTCTGAGAGATTCGGAGATTTAAACGAGTAATCCTTAAATATATAATTTCTTAACTTAAAATAAATTTAAATTAAATAAAATTAATTTCTTAATTTTAACTTATTCAAAATCCATGTTTTAAAACGTACTGATATAATTTCATTAAACAATTTAGGGTTTAAACAAAATTCAAGACAAAGCTCTTTATTAATTAAAAACATTACAATTTTTCATTTTAATTACATTACCTTTTTCATCCTTTAACATTATATTTTTATCTTAAAAGTCAGACACGATATTATGGCGTAAATTGTATTTTTTTATAATTTTATTATCATAAACAATATACACATATTAGTTAATCATCGAATGATTTAAATTTTATGATATTTCCATTTTAGATAAACTGCTGTTTTTCTCGTTTCTTTATTTCATTAATCATTTGTTATTCAGTCAAAAGTATCAGTTTCCAAAGGTTACAAAAATAATCTCATTGCAAAATTTCTCGTGTATTATAACATATTCCAAAACACAAGAGAATATGCGTAAGTTGGAACATTACAAATATATGTTACGTTTTTATTATTATCTTTAAATAGCTGGAAGAAAATGACATTGTTGCAGATCAAACAAGTCCAAAATGTAATGTAAAACTATGTTCGAACAACGATGTTCCACCATCGTCGGTAATTCGCGCTTGCCTTGGTCCTTCCTTGGCACAGGTGTTTTTTGATTATACTCATCATGATACGATAAAACTATTGGACGTACTAACACCATTAAAAACATCAAAAGCATGTTTCTCAATTCCATCTGAGCGTCAATTATCCGAATGTAGATTCATACCGCCGACAGATCATCAAATCGTAAAGGCATTTGTGCATCAGAATATATTAGGTAAAACACTGTAGCATATAAATGTAAATGAATATACGATGTAAATGAATGTACGTACGATAATATGAAGATATTGAGAACATTGTATACGATTGTAATCATAAACGAAATTACTAGAAATAGGCGAAGCTTTATTAGAACGTGTGAAAAAGGATATCGAGGAGAGTCTAAGGGACAAAATAGAGAGGCAATCACGAGAGAAATTTCATCTGTATCAAGCAAAGAAAAGGCGAGAAGCTGAGTTGCACGCGGAACAGCTGCACGAGAAATACGAAAATTATATTGAGACTGTCCAGCACGAGTTACAGAAACAGCTTGAAGTAATGACTTACATTGCTTTCTCTATTATTTCTTTTTTATAATATGCAATTAATTATCGAACAGAGAGAAATAATAGGATACATTGCGAAATACAGAGTATATCTTATTTGAATTTAAGATAACTTGATAACAATCGATAAAAAAATTTCTGCTGTTTATTCTTTTGAAGATAGCATTGAAAGAATTGGAGAAGTTGATAATACTTTATATGTTGATAATATATCGCAAAAATAATGATCTATCAATGTATCAAGTTGAAGAAATTTAAGATCGTATGATTTATAATATATGTATATACGATAGAATCCAATGCTATTAGATTACTTTTATATTTGTCATTGGAGTAGCTTGTACATGATCTTATTCTAGAAACGTTGAACATACAATTATATAAGCTTCAGTTATCTAATTATCGAAAGTTGTATATAACAAACAAGCAAAAAGAGGGAAAAAATGATCTTAATTCTCAGGTAGAATGGTCTCAAGCAGCAGCAGAATGTGCCAAAAACATTCAAAAAGCAGTTGTGCAAGAACGAATAAATGTGACCAACGAAATGATGCGCAAGATGCGTGCGGAAATGACTCATGTTGTACAATCGTTATATAAAGACTTTGAAGAATTGTTTTGCGCCAAAAGGGACAACATAATCGCCGACTTTAATCAAATAATGAGGTTCACATTTTCGCACGTGTGGCCATTGCATTTGTGTAATTAATTTCAATTAAAATTCATGTAGGGGAAAGCACGTGAAATTAAAGAAAGAAATGCAGGAATTCAAAGAGAAAGTGAACAGAGATCTGTATATTCAGAGGCGTCAATTTGAAATGCAAAATACCGCAGATTTGATCTATGCCCTTTGTCTGGAACGATTACGAAATAATAGAGAAAAGCATATCATGCATAAATACTTTCAGGTAATGAAGTTACACGAATTTCGTTAATATTACACGAAAAGAAATATTTCATAGAAATTTGTGCTTTTATATATAGCAACAAATCAACGAATTTTATGAATTAATAGTCCGTTTGAAAGATGTGATTATTGCCATGAGGAAAGAAATTATCGATTGTCATATAGAGAAGAAGTTATTAAATGAAGAATTCTGTGAAGTTGCCAAACATTTTCAGAAGTTTATTGATTTTGTATTTCGTGCTATGCCGAGGCAAGCAGATTATTTGTTACCGTTAGAATTACAACGGGTAATTAGGCCAGACAAAGATAAAGAAGAAATGCAAAAAATAGTCGAATAACATTTAATGGCATGCACTGTTATCGAAGTATTGTTAAGTGCAATATGTTGTTGATTAAATAAGTATCTCTTTTGAAAATAAAAAAGTGCAAACTTAAAGATATTGTAAATAAATATGAATTGATGTGTAAAGAAAAAAAAAAAATGCTGAAAAGAAATACTAAATGTAGCAAAAATGTAAAATATTGTGATTTACATATCAATGCAAGAAAATTGTCTATTATTTGTAAAAGCCAGAAACTAAAAAGTAGATAAAGAAATTAGAATTAATGATAAAGAAATCAGAATAAATCATAAAGAAAAACATTCACTCGCAAAAACTGCGCTATTTTATAAAAATATAATTGATAAAAAGGTTTCATGAAACACTTGGAAGCAAAAATGTACCTGATTCAATTTCCGTCTAATAGAGTACTAATTAATTTCATCATCGTATACAAATGTTATTCTTCTCGAAGGGCGATACCATTCTGGATCTCTTTGAAGACTTGATATTCTTGGACGATAAAATTCACGAATCATAACATTGGTTTTTCCAACTTCATTTCGTGGAATAGATGAATAATCTGTTAGGCGCCATCCGTATATCCAATTCGCGCAATCCGGATAGTAATAGCGATTTTCTGGAATATCTTTTACTCTAAAATAAGCAACGGCAATATTAACATAAAATATCAGTTTTATTGATGTATCTTTTCAATATAAAAAATTGAGATTAAGAAGAATATCGGAAAAAATACTGAAAGAAAGAAATAATATTAATCTTTTTTTTTTTTTATTAGTGTCGTATTTAAAACCTTTCATAAATATAATTTTCAGCATTGATAAAACTTGGGGCATCTTCGTATAAAATGGCTCGTACTTGCGGATCAATGGGTTTCATTATGTTCATATTAATAGAACCATCACATTCGAGAGGTCTCCAATTTGGTAAGGGTTTTAAACGTATCTATAAAACAGAAAATCTTATATAATTCTCACTATATAACAAATACGAATAATTATTATTAAATATAATAAAATTATATACGATGTCCATGATTGGTTGTTTCTTTGGTATATGTTTCGGCGGCAATTTAATCTCTTTCGTTTTCTCCAAATGATCTAATAATTTCTGTTGGTTCTTCAGAAACCATCTGATACGTGTATTTTCTTCTTTTTGTATCATTGCAGTGTAAAATGCTTGACAACGAGCATCACAGATTCCTCCTCTAATTGACATGATTTAATTTTGCTATGTGCTTAGCAGTTTATATAAAAGAGTGACTAAAATTTGAATGTATGCCCATTGATTTAAAAAAAAGTTACATTTATAAAGAATTTTCAACATAGCATAAGTCTGAAATAAGATTACATATTGCTCGACATTCTAATGTTTCTCTCATTAATGCAATAGAAAAGAAAAAAAATATTTTCATGAGTTTTTTTTATATTGTACAGAATTATTTTATTTACATTATTATTACATGTAATACGTTTTACTGCAATTCAATTACCTTTTAGTGCGCTAACATTAACTTACGCAATATCAGTGGGAGCATTATTTTACATACAAACTGATAGAAAAAAAATTAGTAAATTTAACAGATAAATGATGTTATGTATTATGAACATTGATTTGAAGAAAATATATGAATAATTTGTCCATTAATTTTTCAGATAAATAGTTCGTGAAAATCAGTTGATTATTACGATCTCCACAAATATATGTAAAATTTAATTTTGGAGATAATAAAAATTGGGCGGCTGATATTACTTTTTGCTTTATACAAAGTGAGTATTTATTTAAATAATTAAAAAGAATATACAATTTAATTTTGCGCGATAATTAAGATTAAAAGTGTACTATAAACACAAGATGTACATACTCATTAAACACCGGACATCATATGAACACATACTATTTATTCGGTACATTAACACTTTATACATATAATATGTATATGTATAATATATTTAGATGGATAAATTAATGTACCTGCCAAATCTTATTACAAAATTTTTCTCGTCAAAATCACATTTCCGCACCATAAAAATAATTTAAATATTTTTGTTTTCGTTTCAAAAAAAATTCTACTACAAAAAATATTCATATAAAGAGTATATATTTTTGCGCACATAATAATTAGTGATATTTTGTGACGTCAAATAATGATATATAGATAACGATGAACAATAATAAATAAATATGGCGTGAAGTATGAGTTTTCATATGATATTACTCCCTCTTAAAGTCAACATCAAATGACTCAGTAATCACAGCCATAGGAAGCAATATTGTGGTACATTATAACGTGTTAGATGCATTGTTGTTTATATTACGAACTGACTAAGGAGCAATTCTTAATTTGTACTTGTATAATCAAGGCGAATTGTACTTTGTATCGCACAATAACGTTGCCGTTTTCTTTCTTTCTAAGTTTTTCCTTTATACTGTACATACGCATGTAATATTAACTTATCTACACTGTTCTACAAAATAATCTAAATTCTTCTGTACCTTTACGCAACACTTATTTAATATTTCGTTCCGTAATTGATAAATTTTAGTAAACTTACACTTTATCTAAACTTAGAATTTGCATTATCATTTTATATAAATATCGAATACTAAAATTTCGTATTTTTTCGTTTCAAGCATATGAAATTTTCAATTAAGAATTTTTAAGTCATATTTCGAATATACCGATTATGCTATACACACTTCTCGCTAATCATTTTTTCCATGCATCCCACTGTTTTTTTTTTTTTAATTTAAATACATATATTGTACAGTATTAAATATTTTTTGCGTAATCTAATTCACTATTCAAGTGGAGCATATTTTTCAAACTTAATGTACCTAAAAATGCTCATATCAAACAATATAACTTTACTGTATTTAAGTGAAATATTTTAACAATTTTCTTCTATACAAAATACATGTATATTCTTTTGATTAAAATTACGTATTACTCACTTCAATGCGTCATTATTGTAATATTTTAATTTTTTTTTTTTTACATATCACGTATTTTGAAATACACTCACACGAATGAACTATAATCAAAATTATTTTATAACAAAAGTATATAAACTATTTCATAAATAAATTGAACATAGTTTACATGTAAAATAAATTCATTTTTCTAATTTTCATAATGAACTTCTCGTTACTCCATATGAACAGTATGGTAGATGATAGTATGTTTAATTATTTCTGCACACATCGGATAATATTGCTAATTGATAATTTAATTTCATTAATTTTTTTTTGAGTAATACATTGCTAGTCATTTTGTTCAATAGAACTTGATCAATTTAAATTTCAGATTTTCTAGTATCAAAAAGAAAACAAATTACTTTTTAATAGATAATTTTTTGTTGTTGTATGTTTCGCATTAATTGATAATAATTGCTCGATAACATATAAATTATTACTTGTTTTTTACTTTAGTATATTAAAAAATACAGTCATCATAGTGTAGTAGTTAATATACATTATTTAAAATAGTCATATATTAAGAAGTAACTTAAGAAATTTTCTGATACATTTATCTTTCGTTGAGCCTGCGTCCCGCACTTGGCTCAAAATGGTTTTTCAGTTGTATATGTATTCATTCGTTACGAATTATTATACATATATAATACCGTTGCAACAGATGAATTAACGGAATATTATTGATAAACTCTTCAAATACGAAAAAACGGATATTTTATCCACCATCCAATAGTTCTTCAATGCAATTCAAGTGGTGTCAGTAAAAGATTCAAAAATACCTATCTTGTAGTCACATCAAGTAACACTGAAGTTGGGGCGTTTTTATTAAGATAATCGCTCATATCTTGGAAACGACTAGACCTAGAAGAACCTTGGATTTGATTAATTCCACTTGTAGAATCATTGTCAACTTCTGGTCCGCGATATCCATCGTCTTGTTTTTCATGTAGTATATATTTGAAAAATTCATATCTAAACAATTTATAAAAAAATTTTTTATATTTGATGTTCTATGATGTTATACAGGTTATCTTATTTAAATAGATTATCTATCTTATATTTTACTAATATTAAAGATAAAAAAAAAATGAATAAAAAAAATTTTTAATTTCTCCAATCTTAAAGGTTATTTCAATGTCATTGACATTTGTTTTTTATAACTAACATTTGTTTTTCGTACGATTTTTAAAGAAGAAAAATGAATTTATATTGGAACAGCTAGGTAAAAAAATTAGCTGAAATTAAGTAATTTTATGTTTTCAAAAAGTTGTTTTAGTACTCGTCAGAAACTAATTCTTGTCTCTATATACTCACGTTGACCAACAAATTGTGGTTGCTGGCATTTGATAAAGAACACGAGCATTTAAACCACGGAAATAACCACGTAAACCTCCGTATCTATAAACTGTTTTAATAGCATCTATCATGCCTTGAACCTGGACACCACTTTGTGTATTTAGAAGTGTTTTACAAACATCTAAAGGTGTTGTAACTGCAGCAGCAACAGCTCCTGCTAATGCACCTATAATTTATGAGTTACATGATTACTAGTTACATGATTATCTATTACATAAATAAATTTTGAAATATATTCTTTTTTAAATGTATATTTACCTGACATCATATGTGCTATTGGATTATACATGTGGTCAGGATTCGTGAATACTTGTGCAATTTCATAAGTAATAAAGTGAATCATTTGAAAAGGCACATTCATAGTTAACTGTGTCGTATAACTCCTATAGAATGCATATGCACCTTCTTTTTGGTATATATTCGTTATACATGTCATAACATTTCGATAAGGAGAGTTATACATTTGTAATCGCTGTTTAACCACTGGAATAAGATAATTTTATTCTTCATTGGATAAAATTCTAAAAATTATGAACCACATTTAGCATGTATTTCCCTCAAAAAAAAAAAAAAAACATATTTTGCATGCCTTAACACAATGTGCACCAGCTAAATTACGTAATAAATAGATAATTTACTCATTTAGTTATTTATTAATAAATTTAAGATGTTTTACCTTCTGCTGGATTCATTATACCATCATGAAGAAGTGTTGCCACACAACCAGCAGTTCCATATGCAGCTAAATTTAATTCAGGATGTGTTCTTGAACTTAAAAGCTTATTTTTAACAAATTCATAGCATGAAAAGTACAATGCATGTGCTGGACCAGCTCCTACAACCATTGCACTCATACCACGAATTGGTCTCAAAAAACCTTCTTGTTGTACCATTCTACTCAGAACTGTCCCTACTCCACCTCCCCCTCCTCCTGAACCCGGTGTCAATGCTTGCATTCTTGTCTAAATATAAATAAAATAAATCCATGTAAATAAATTTACTTATTTGTTTAACAGTATAAGAAAATTACTTTTCATAATTTAAAATATTGATTTTATATTAATATAGATAAGAATATTATTTAGACAACAATAGAATACACAAAATTTAACCATCTCTAATTTTTTAATATCTTAGAATGATTATTTGACGATGAAAATAGATATAGAAGTATTAAGACAACTTTGAATTTTTTAAATCATGACTTGCAATTATTTAAAGGTATAATCATTTCTGACTGACTGCTTTCCAATTATTATTTGTCATTAAAGATAAATGATAGAACAATGACAAACAATGATGCATTTGATAATATTTTGCAAATGATATTTAAAATTGCTCATTAAACTTTAAGATATATTGTTTATATGAAATAAATATACATGCTTTCATATTAATATTTTATTACAAGTGTATTTTCTAATAATCACACGTGAAAGTATCTGCTAATATAGATTGTAGGTTGAAAAGAAAACCAAAAATAGAACCTACTGCAACAGAGTTGAGAACTGTGTTATGTAATGAATGTTTGTAACTCATGTTCTATTTAATCATTTTATGTATTAAAGTTGTCAAACAATTAACTATTTGCAATGTCAAAAAGATACAAATACAATGTCTTAGATATTGTTTATGTATATTTGATCATTTAGTATTTAATAAACTGTATTTGTATATATGTACAGCTCAATGTGATAACATGTAAATCAAATATTGAAATTATGTATTTTATGATCAACAAAAATATCTTTTTAAATGAATATTCAAGTTGATGAATATAACAAAAATATAAATTTAATTACAAATTATACTAAAAAGGAGGGATCATAAAAAAACAATGTTTATACACATATAAGTGCATTAAAAATTAAATAGAGAGTAGAAAATTTATTTCTTATTACAAAAAATCTATTTTATTCATCATTATTAGTAACACACATAATTTCATTGTTAATTAATTATGTAAATAGCTAAATATACAGTGGCAACAATGTTTTGTGACATAATAACAAAGAATGTACTTGCTATTTTAACAAGTATTGAAAGATAGTAAACAATTACAGAACATTGTTGCTAAATCATTTGATGACTAATTCAGTCGTTTGTAAATTCTAAGAAGAATTGGTACCTAGAAATAATTATGAAATTGTATTGCTTAAACTAATTACGCAATAATTTTGCAACAGTGATGCAAAACGCGAAATTGTATGGCCAAATGTTAACATCTCAGGAAGATTAATTGCTTTTATCTTGAAAGTTTAAATACTTCGCTATTTACTCAAGATTACAACGACGTTCACATACGTGAAACTTGATTTCTAGGTTTCGATGAGGAAAATGATAAAATTCAGAGAATTGTCTTGGAATATCACGCTTGTCTTTATCCAAAGACCGTGTGACTTGCAATGTCATGATATTAAATGTCATTGGATTTTATTACAATGCGGCGGAAATGAAATTCCGTGAAGTGATAGTTGAGGTTATATAAAGTATCTTGGGGGGAAAAAATGTGCGAGAGAAATAAAGCTGTTACCTTAACACTGTCAAGCGGATACATCACACAGTGTTCCATAATTCCTGCGAATGCACCTGCTGTCATGTGTACAGCTACAGAGGATGTAGGCAACGTCTCATAATCGTCCGCATTCATATTTTCTGAAGATGTTCTAACAATTTCCAGTTAACGGCTGGACATGAAATACCGCAATTTCTGTATGCACTCTCTCGAAGCAGACAACACTTTCGGCAGTAACTAATGCCGAATTACTGCTTATGCAGTGGCATTCGCTTTGTAATCGCCGAAACATGCATTCAGAAGGATGTGAGGGTAATATTCGTTCTTTCGAAATGACGAAACGTAATCGTACTCGTTGATCGTGTCTTAATGGAACCGTATTGGAATTGAAAAGGCTGCTACCACCGATAAACAGATTTGCAATGTATAAGTCCTCGTTCAGGTATTCGCGCCACAAACAAATTATTCTACTTCCCTATACTACTTTCATGAAATACAAGGGCACATGACGGCTGATTGTTTATTCGAATCGTTACGGAACTCGATACATACTGACATTCTTCGCGATACGGTTACGGCTCATCATACGGTTCGTTCAGTGAGGTTAGGTGTTCGCGCACGTGTCACGCATGCGTCGTATTCAACCACGTGGTTGGTTCGTGTAGTATGCTACGCAGTAGCAGCTTAATAAGTAGTCTGATTGCTGTATAAAACATGTGCATTGAGGATGTAATAATGCATTCGTTTCATAGAAGAAGACGACGGGTCGTTGAATTTAAAACTGCAGAATGAATCTTCCAATGCAGTTGTTCGAAGTTCCCCTTCTTCTTTTAAATATCTTGATAAAGCTTACCTTCGATTTTTAGCATTCTACTCTTGTCTTTTCCTTCGTATCTTCTATTGTTTTTAAAATATGATTATCATATAATCTATATAGATATCTATTTTGAAGAAAAATGTTCCTCGGCAATTTTGATAGCGTTATCACGCAGTACTTGTTCGTTTCACGTTATACTGCTGTTTGACAAAAATAAAAGTTACGTTTTACTTTTACACCATTATGTTTTATATCAATTACACTTGTGTCCTATTGAGGCATTTTTAATGTTAATGTTACAAAATCCCACCCAAGAGTTTGTCAGAAAGTAAACGTAAATTATCAATGTTGTTAAAAAATTTGCTTTGAATTTCGTATTTTACAACATTCTATAGACAGTTCTATAACATTCTAGACAATGCACGTGTTGTAAAAACATGTATAAGATCGTATTACGTACCGTATGACAAACTGTTCACATATTGTTCTATTTATAGAAAATATCGTGATTACGAAATATCGCGTGCAATACTTTACTACAAGTTGTAATGTTTTCTTTTAAGATGATTCATTCAGGCCAGTCATGGTAATTTAATAATTATGCATAAAAATTAACTTATGATATAATGTTTTGAATAATATATAAGTCTTTGCTCGTATTGAATGTGGATTTGCGTGGAATTCGATTAAATGGCAAGGTCAGTTGATATGGTAGTAGTTTGTGTTCACTGATTCGAAAAGCATAATTGGAACTTTTCCAACATATAATTCAATTAATTATTTAACAACTAATTTTGTATATTGTACGATATTTCCTTTGTAGTTAAATATCTCGCAATATAATCGGCAATTGTGTGCAATTTTATTTTGTTCTTATCATCTGTAATATATAAAGTGATCACTTTATATTACAATAATCACTCTTAACGTATTAGTTAGAAAAATTACTTAAGGAGATTTCAATTGAAACATATAAAAAATATAGCATGACATATTATTATAAATATTTAAAATTAAAGGTAGGATTTAAATACTTCTGGGCTGTTTAACATGTATACAAAAGTCGCTTTATTTTAAAGCAATTATAATAATAATGGGTTTTATAAATTGTTAGTTGTTATATTACATATGGCAATAAATATTTTAAAAAGTTGGAAAAAATATTCTACAATATTTTCACAGTAATAAAGAGTAATATACTTCTATTTTATATACATATTTATACAAACTTATACATATATAAAATAAAGAACACGCAAGAATGTTACGTTAATAAATGCAACATTCTTTGTAAAAATTTAATATTACAATTTTTAAGTGTGAGAAATAATGTGCAATTAATCATTCCTCTGTATTACAATTTTCTTATTATCTTTTGTTTTATATTTAAAAAAAAGAAGAAACAAAAAATTATAGAAACTATTGCTTATTTTCTTTTAATTTTATAATGAAATTAATTTTATTTTCTATTTTTTTCACTAAACTTAAGTGCAAGAAATTAATTAATAAAATAGTCAAGAAGCAAAGAATATTTTAATAGAATCATGTGTATAAGATAGTTGTTTAAAAGTAGTAATAATTCTTTCATTTTAATCTTATCAGACTTGGAGCATTCCTATACACATATTCTTTATCAATATGTAAACTTTAACGAATAATGGTTCAAAAGAAACTTTTGTATAAAATTTCTTATAAGCACATACAAAACTTACATTATGAATAATGTGTTTGTGTTAAATAATGTGTATACAATAATTATCTAATTTATAATCTTATAAATACATCATGTACTTTTGCAATATACTGTGTACATATATTAATGAAACACTATTGCACACTATTAATTGCAGATTTGTGTTTCCATTATGAGAGCTTGAATTTTATACAAAAAATTTTATAAGCGATATGAAAAAATAGTAACTATTGGTTTTCTCTTTTTTTATAAACAAGAATTGCAAAGTACAACTTAAACATATATTATTCACAGAAATTTATACATATTCTTTCTTAAAAAAGTAAAATTTTACAGTAAATTTTAATGAAATTTAATAGCTACATATATAATTCAACTCAATCCATATACATATTTCACATTGTTTACATTTTTCCAAATTTTTAAATTTTTATTATTTAATAAGTATTGCTAAAAAGTTTTTAGTTTTGTTTAAAAACATTTTTAAGTAAATTTTTCTCAATTAATACTGTATTACATTTAATGATTTTATATAAGTAATTTTTATTCTTCTTACTTTTCTAGTTAAATGTAATGCCAATTTTTTTTTAAATTCATAATAAATTTAAATAACGTCAACTTATAGAAAACATTCAAATTTTTCTAATGTAATATATATTTAAAAAAATTTTAGACATATTGATTTAAACATTTTATATAAAATAAATTTTTTGAATAAGTTTTAAAAATATAAGTGCAATAATTTACAGATGTTTTTCTTGATCACATTAGTATTTTACATTAATTAAAGTTTCAAAATATTTGATTTAAATGTAATGTAGAGTGTACTAGAACCAACAACTAGGATTTAGAGGTTTTATATTATATAAAGAAAAACAATTCAATACCTGAAATTACAAACTACTAGCTATACCTGATTAGACCTCCTACTTCTGCGAGAAGAACTTGAAAATAATGGACGCGGTTTGTATAGGTCATCACTTGAATAACGTTGACTACTTCTATGTCGGCTGCAATTACATAACAAACTAATTATAGTATGAATAGTGAAAATGCATTTCCACTTGAAATGAAACTGTTTAGCAAATGAAATTGTATTGCAAAAAATGCGTAAATTTAATTTTTACATTATAATTTGTTAGTATTTGATATATAGTAGTTTGTGTACAATTCTTTTTTCTTTTTATAAATGAAGATCTTAACAAAATTTATAAATATAATTTTGTATACATTTAACTTTTAATTTTTTGTATACATTTATAAAAGTAAGAAAATTATCCAACAGTTTATGAAAAAGCTCTAAAAATTGAAAACAAATAATTAAAAATTTTAAAAATTAAAAATTAAGAACAATTATTACTAATAATAATTATTCAACGTACCCTTTGTCTTCTTTAATCATATTTGCAGATGGTATTTTTTCACTGGTTGCAGATACGTCGCTTTCTGGACTTAAAGGCATAACAAAATTTTCTCCATTTAAAAGTCCTTGTGGAGTACATATATTTGATTGGAGTCTCTGCTTTTTAGATATTAGCTTTCTTTTTTTAATATTATTTAGTGCTTCTTCATTAGGTAGGGTTAATGCTTTTTTATGACCATCATTATTATTATTTGAATTATTTAATAATATATCTGTTAATGGGCTAGATGAATGTTTGCGTTTTGGTAAAGGTGGTGCCATAGCTTTTGGCACTGAAGATACGACTTGACCTCCTAAACTCTCTATTATGTCTTCTAAAGAACTGTTTTCTATTAATTCTAGTGATTCTAAGAAACTAGAAAATTTTTCTGATTTTTCATTGTCTGCTTTGAAATAACGACAATCTTCATTATCTTCAGTTTCCATTGATGTTGATTCTAATATTTCTGGTTCTTCTTTAATTTTTACAATGCAATCTTTATCGGTTACGTATCTGTTTAAATTAGAAAGACTACTATTTTCAGCATCCTGAGAAACATCTTCATCTCCAATTTTTGATGTTGTAGGTATTTCTATATTTCTATTGTCACTTGAACAAATCATATCTGTATTTATATCACTTAACTTTAATTGCTCTTTTTCTTCGTTTACTTCTTTTTTATTACTAAAATAGTTTGATTCTTGAGAGTACAGATGTACCTCTTCTAATACAGATGTACCAGTTTCTTGGCATGTTTCTTTTTCAAAACATATTTTTGCAGAACTATCTAGTTGTTTCGTTTTTATTATTTTATTGTTGTCTTCTTCCTTTATGCTGGAAAACAATGATTCTTTATTTTGTAAGTCTTCTATTTCTTTATTGTTAGGCAATAAAGAAATAGAAGAGTCAATATTTGCTTCAGTATCAGAACTCAATGGTTTCTCAACTTTATTGGTAAGTGTTTCACTTAATGATTTCTTTATACATAATTCCATGTCTGATAATTTTAATTTTAGATTAGAATGTGTCTCTAACAAATCTTTTGTACCAACTTCAGCTTGTAACATCATTATTGATCTTTCTTCTAATGTTAAATTAGTATGTTTCTCAGGATATGGCTCTTCGTATTCTTCATCTGGTATTTCTATTATTTGAACACGTTCTTCATCTGGCATACTTTCAAAATTGTCATTATTTACTGCATTTGTTTGTATTGGTTGTTCTATTTTCTCAATCTTCTTCTCTAACTTCTTATTTTCTTTAAGTTTCTGCTTCTCTATCTGTTTCCTAATTTTCATTAATTTTTTAGCTTCATGTATATTTTTTGCAAATTTTGGTTTCTTTACTTTCATTTCTCCTGAACTGCTATTGTCTTCTTCTATCAACACTCGTTTTTTAAGAGGTAAGTTAACATCATTAAATTCCAATTCTTGTTTAGTATGCATTTCAAAATTATTAGTGTTGTCAGTTTTATATTCTGCATCTAATTCTATTGCTTTGTCTAATTTATAATTTTGTTGTTCCAATAATAGTTTTATATCATTTGGATGTATTTCTTCAACATTGTCTGATGTTTCACTACCTGAATTACTCATATGGTTTGTTTCTTTAGAAAAGGTTGATGTATTTGATTTACCATGTGCAATATTAGATCCAGAACTACTAGATTGTGAACTTTTGCTACTTGATCCATTTGATCCATCTCTGTCTGTAGAACGTCGATCATTAGAATTTCTTCTTAAACTAGAATGATCATCTTTTGACTTGGATTTCTTCTCATCTCTTCGTTTTTTGTCTTTATGTTGGGAATCATTTTTGCTATCTTTTTTGTTATCTAATTTCTCATTTTTTGTCGAGTTTTTACTTTGCGTGTGATTTTTGGCATCTTTTTTACCATTTATTTTTTCACTAGTTGACTTGACATCTTTTCTTATTTCAGATTTATCAATCTTCTCTTCTTTTTCATTTTTTATAAATTTCTTTACATCCTGTTTATCTAATTTTTCTACCGAGTCTGATTTCATGTTGATATGGTTTTTAGACTTTATATGATCCTTAGAAGTACGTTTTTCATCTTTCTTACTCTTATCTTTATCCTTTGATTCACTTCTTTTTTCTTTTCCATCAATAACTTTATCAGATGCTTTGACAGTTTTAATTTCATGAGAACTTGACGAAGGATTTTTGGAAGAGCTTTTATGATCTTTTTTATATTTCTTGTCTTTTGGAGAATCTTTTTTATCTTTATTTTCTTTATTTGATTTTGTCTCCTTGTCTTTATTTAATTTTTCTTTCTCTGTTAATTCTTTCTTCTCTCTAAGTTCCCTAATTTTTTCTTTGTAAAGATCTTTCAGATCTTTTCCTTCTTTACTAATATTATCTTTCTTGTCTGTTTCTTTTATTTTATCTTCCTTTGCTTTAGTATAATTATCCTTTTCCGCATCTTTAATTTTATCTATACTTTCTCTCGGTTGATCGCTTTTATCTTTAGCTTTATTTTTATCATATTTGTCATATTTTGAACTGCTGTGACTTCTTTCTTTCTTTTTATCACTACTTCTATCCCTATGATGTTTTCCATCTTTTACATGATTTTTATCTTTTGATTTTGATTTAGATTCACTGTCTCTGGACCTATCTTTATTATTTTTATATTCATACCTATCCTTTATACTACTGTCTGTAGCATCACGAGAATTTTCTTTAGAAGATAAATTGTTCTTAATATTTTTAGAATCTTTAACATCTTGTACATCTTTAGTTTTATTTAATTCAAAAATATTTTTATTACTTTTATTTTTATTAGATTCATATTCTCTGACAGCTTTAAAATTGTCTTTAATATTTTTAACATCACATTTATTGACTTCATCTTTCAATGCATCAGGTATTGGTGTTGATGCATGGTTAGAAAATCCAAAATCAGTTACAATCGATAATCGGGAATCGGAAGAAACTTTGCTTAGTTGTGAATCTTGATTACTATAATCGAAGTTGTCTCTTGACAATTCATTACAAAAATCAGGGCTTCTAGACCTATGACTAGTTAACTCTGATATACCTGACAAATGTGAATCATTGGAATTATTAGATTCGTTTAGATTCATAATATCAATTGGTTCAAAAGTAGGACTGTCTTCTTCATCTTCCTCCGTTTTATCATCTGATTTACCAGATGTATTTAAATTTAAAATACTACCAGTCTTATTAAAACCTTTATCACTTTCATCCAACGCTTTCTCTTCCAAATAAATTTGTCCATTCTCGGATATATTATCTTTATCTTTTTCATTGGATATTTCATCTTCTAAAGACTTCTGTTCGTTAGCAGACTTTACATCTCTTTTTATTTCTAAATCTTCCATTGCATCCATAGACTCCAAAGACACATCTTTTAAACTATTTTTGTCAGACTCTGGTGAAACAGGATCTAAATCCTTGGGTAATAAATCTTTAAGGCCACATGCACCATTTTTTTCTTTTGCCTTAGGTCTTTCTATTCCTAGAAATTTGTACACTACATCCTCAATCTGATGCATGAAGACAGAATATACTTTCGGATTTACTACTTGATCTACTATGCGTTCCACACCGGCGTCTAAATAAGGAGCTTCGTGTATGTGCTTCCTTAGTGTTTCTCTCAATTGATTTTTGTTTAAATCTGGTTTCCATGGTTGTTTGTTGAGAAAAGAATTTACAGAACCTTCAACTCTTGTACGTAAGTTCTGATAGGCTGGCTGTAATGAAAATGATAAAAATCAGTATGAACAGCATGTATGTCTATAAATAATCATGAAGTATTGTTATTGTATAATACGTGTCTGCTTTGGAAAGCTTAAATACATATTACTTTAATGTCAATTACATTAAAATTCAAAATATTGTGTTCAAAATGAATACAGCAATAACTTTATTACTGTACAATGTTTCGATGATAAATCAATTGTTTAAATATTGCATACCTTCGTATCAACATCAGCAATGCATTCTTTGCGAAATTGATCAAAAATTCCTTGAGATTTCACTTCTCCTACGATGTGATCCACTAATCGTGGATCACCTGGTAATAACGTGTTAGGTAAACCTAACTCCATGATAAATAAAGTGTTTAAAATAATTATAATTCACTTGAACGTTAAATAATCATTCATTTTTATTGACGAAGTCGTTCCGTGAAACAGTAAGCAGCCATACTCTTTGACTTCGCGTCTAGGTTAAACGTTAGAGCTGTGTGAGTAAATGAATAATAATCAGTACCAACCTTCCTTTATACCAAGTATCACTGGGTAAGATAGATGTTGAAGTTAATGAAATATTTTGTAACAGATATGAAAAACTAAAGGTTTTCGATATAATACATCTTTATTTAAATTTATTGTATGTACACAAACAAAGCAGAGTTATTCTTATCATTCTAGTTAACGTTAATTATATTAAGTTAAAAAGATCTTAAAAGAATTTTTTAATTCGCCAAAAATGCCAAGACTTCAAAGTTAAGACGTTTCTCAATGAAAAATTTATGATTCAAGTTTATTTATATGGCATTAACATCTATAATGTATATACTTTGGAGGAGACAGCCATTTTTTTAACATGGCAAGTTGTTCGGTGTCAAATGCAACTTGTTTGTGATTCTATTTTAGGATTGCTGGCTAATACTATTGTTTTATTACACAAAATTATATAGCTTTTTAGTTATGAGGAGAGTAACACTTTTTGTCAATGGTACCAATGTTACAAATGGCAAGGTGGCTGCGATTTCATTTAGTACAATAAACTTTCATTGTTTACTTTTCATTTTTCAGTCATACATATGATTTATTTTGAACAATTTATAAATTAAATTATATATGACGTACTTATAGAGGAGCCGTGTGAAAAAATACTTTTGAACAAGTTACAAACAGAACTTTAGTATGTTAATGTATAAGACAATTTGAAGACAGTAATGTTTACATAAAATTTTTAATAAAAAATGATTACAAGACAGAAAATATCTTTACAATATCTAGCGCCTATTTAATTTCTAACATGTTAAATATTTAAGATTTATTGTATTTGATTTTCAAATTTTTATATTAATCTGAAGGTTTATGTAATTATCAGTTGAAATAAATAAAAAAAAAGGATTATTGTAGAAATGAGCATATGTCTAGTAATAACTAGGTTTTCCAGTTAATATTTATTATAATAAATATTTTGGAAAAGAAATCACATTTATATATAACTTACCATGTATTTGTTTTAGGTATTAATGATAACTAATTCATTAGATGAATTGTTAACAGCAGCCAGTTCAAAGTTCAACATTACTGCCAAAAGAATATTTAATGTTCAGGGTGGAGAGATTGATGATATTAATCTAGTCCGGTAAAATAAATTACATCAATAATCGAAGCTGCATCAATGATTGTTCTATCTTTTGTTGTATTTATAATATACATAATTTAGCAGAATAAACTTCTTACAGGGATGACGATGTTTTATATGTTTCATGTGGAGAAGATTTTATTCCTAAGGACAAACTTTGTAGTCAAAATCAATTAAATACATGTTCAGAATGGATTACGCTGAATGTTGGCGGAAAGTACTTTACAACAACAAGAGACACTTTAACGAAAAAGGAACCTATGAGTATGTTAGCTAGGTAAGCAAATATGTTCAACTTATTTGTTTGAATCAGAACTGTAATTACTATGTTAGAAGATGTACTGATATTGTTTTTATTGATTTTTAGTTAATACTTACTTTTGCACATACTTATAATACGAAAAAAAAAAACAGAATGTTTACAGACGCTACAGACACAGGACAGAGAATCTTACCTAGCAGACAAGATAAAAATGGTGCATTTTTAATTGATAGAAGTCCTACATACTTTGAACCTTTGTTGAATTATTTGAGGCATGGACAGATTATACTTGATTCCAATGTGAATGCAGCAGGTATGGTTTCTTTTTATTAATTCGTTAATTATACGAGCTTCTTCTTCAATTTGTTTTATCCACATGTTTACATATTTCGTAATTCCTTTTAGGTGTCTTGGCAGAAGCACGTTTCTATGGAATAGAAGGTGCTATTGATATCTTGACTGCAATGGCAGATGAAGAAGAACTTCAGAGGAGTGGTTTGGTATCTTTTACTCGTAAAGATGTACTTAAAGCGATTATGTCAACACCTACGACTTCAGAACTTAGATTTCAAGGTGTCAATTTCGTTGGTGCTGACTTATCAAAGTTAGATCTCAGGAATATAAACTTTAAGGTGATTAGAATTACTATGATATTACAATAATGTGATAATTGTAATTATTACAAATTTTAAATAATATTTCAGTATGCAATTATGCGTGGCTGCAGTTTGGCAGGTTCAAATTTATCTGGTTGTTGCTTTGAACGTGCAGATTTGTCTTATGCAAATTTACAAGGTGCACAATTAATTCGTGTAAGAATGCTGTGCGCGAATCTAGCCGCTGCCGATCTTCATTCGTGTAATTTTGAAGATCCCTTAGGTGTACCCGCGAATATGGAAGGTGTAAATCTTAAAGGTGCCAATCTTGAGGGCAGTATTATGGCTGCTGTAAATCTTAGAGTGGCAACGTTAAAAAATGCCATCTTAAGAAATTGTATTCTTAGATCAGCTGTGTTAGCTGGTGCTGATTTAGAGGTATTATATCATTAATGTTAATTCCTCTCATAGTATGTGTTTCTAGTGTTTGTTTATTTATTATTTATATTTGTTTTAGTGCTGTGACTTATCGGGATCTGATTTACACGACGCGAATCTACGAGGCGCGAATTTCAAGGATGCTGCATTCGATTTGATGTTAACGCCATTACATATGTCTCAAACGATACGATAAATGCAGTTTAAGTTCTGTGATGTAAATATTTATTTCATTTTAGAATGATAGTGATTTCAGTGATATCGCCTTCATAGGTGTAGATGGATTTTAATTTTTATGCTTGTGTGTGTGCTCGGTTACATTAAATTATTATTGCATTATGTGGCCTACCACTGTGATTGATGGTCTAACGAATTCATGATTTCTATCTACGATGCCTTTGACTGAAACTTTATTCTTAATGTGAATTTAGGGTATTAAGGTGAATAAGAATTAATTAATTGTTTAGTCACCGTATTATCTTTTGTATATACATGGCCATGTATTTTGAAAAAAAGTACTTTGATAGACTTCTTAATAATGTTTAACATTTAATAACATTTTACGCAATGCGACGTTATTTATACAAAGATTGTAACATATAATCAATTTCCATACAAGGTAAATCATCACAGAAATTACGCTAAAATATTATAAACTAGAAAAAAGTTTGAATATTTCTTTATTTTTTATTTCTTTGTTTGTACTTTAAATTTTGTGATTAGGAGAATGTGAATTTCGTGATCGACGTATGTAAATTGAGCGAATGTACGATAATCATATAAGTTATTTGATATAGTATTTTATCTAAATAAAATACAAAATATTTAATTTTATTCTTTACATAATACTATGAAATTTATTGTTTTCACATTCTGAGCAAATATTATTGAGTAATATATTTACTTAGTACATAAATTTTGTATAAATTGTATTTTTTTGAATATATAAAAAAGAGTAATATAAATAGACACTTAATAGATTTTAATAATTTAAATCGAAGCAATAAGGTAGTTTTCTTTACGGTTGAATACTACTTTTACGTTGAATTATTAATATTACAGATATATTAAATCGTTACTCTAGCATATAATATTTATGACAATTATTTTGATTGATTTTTAAAAATAAATTAACATTGATATATTTAAGTTAAGTTTCTAGAATAAAATTCTTAGGCAAAAGTTTACTTGTCACCATTTGCAGAACAATCAGTATTAGCGACAGGTTCTCCGTTTCAGTAAACGCTTGTAAATGACGTATGCGTGACTGTATTCGAAATGTCGATTGTTACACACATTGAACTGGGCAATACACTTTGTACGGACGTATCTTGACATAACAATAGGCTTCTAAGGCGCACAATACAGTTTATTTTATAGATTGTGACTTCCAAATAGAAATATTTCATTCTATAGACTCCGAGGACTATAAAGTATCTATAGAAGAACGAAATTAAGTACCTTGTAAATTTCTTTAAAAGAGATAATAATTTTGGTTATTGAAAATTTCCTCAAATATAAGAAAAGAGAATTTGAAAGAAGATTTATAATTTACATAAAAAACAAGAATTACATATTAAGTAAAAACTTTGCTTTATTTTGTAGTTGTACAAGAATTACATATTAAGTAAAAACTTTAGTATAGTTTTTTTTACAATGTATTTTGTTAAAGATTTTTTTTTAGGAATATCTTTTAGGAAGACATGGAAAATCAAAATATTGTTTGCTTGTAATAGAAATTTTTATTTCTTATATCGATTGTAGCGTTAGCTATGTAAAGACAAAGCCATGAGAAAAATCTCTTCTTATTTTTTATAAATATTTTTATATGAATAATTATTAAAAAGTTTCAAGAATAAAATAATTGCTTGAATCGAATTAAACTATTTTCTTTTTAAATTTAATTAGGAACGCTTGCCCCGTGATGTTAAAAGAGTTTACTTCCTCGCGAATTTTTCATTCGAAGCAAGTTATTCGTTTGATTAAAATGTTTAGATAAAAACTACAGATCGGCACGATGTGTTTAGAAGACTTTCACACAGAAATGCGTGGAATCGTAATAACCACGATAATGATTTTTAAAAGAAAAATGGCTCGGAAAATCGATTACTCGCAAAGACCACTAACAAATAAGATCGCTCTTCCAATAATTACCTTCCTAAAACCAGACTGGGCAGAGCTTCCATTTTAAAGATACTCTATTTCAAAACGAATCATCTACATTTCATTTCGCATGAGATATCTGAAGGCTAATGTTCTATCGTTTCAACTTCTCGAACCAATTCAACCACTGAAAGTCCATTTGTAAAGATAACGATAACAAATAACTATCAACACGCTTCGATGGTTTCATTCTGTTTGGCTCGCGCGTATAGTATAAATGGACCTTAAATCGTTATAGCACGCCTGTTCTCTACAATCATGCCACAGTTACGCGCAGTTACGAACTGACGTTTGGAATGCCCTCGCGGTTGTAAATTTGCCGCGGAATTCCCCGGAGGATCTGTACGTTTGATAATCGTCGCGGATGAAAAAGCGTGCAGGATGTTCGGTCGAATTGAATTTGCTCGTGTCAGGACTGTTTGCAGTTACACGAGACGCGTCGATGGAGAACGTCGAGGAAGGGGTGAGGAGGACCCACAACTTGCTCGCGGAGATTTGTCCTAATCTCGTTTACCAAAGTCCAGAAACATTCGCCAGATTGCTACGGAGTTACCTGCCCGCCAGAGTAACGAAATCACTTTAACCAGACCATCGTCAGATGCCCTTCACCCGCGACTACATCTGTTCTGATGGGAATACGATTCGTAAGAGCGTCGCTCTCCCTCTTTCGTCCCCTTCGTCCCCACGTTTCGGGTCAACTTTGGCTTAGGTCTTGGTAAAATAAAAACGAAAGTTTATTGTTAAAGTTCGTTATAAAATTATAGCGTTTGGTGTTTGACGTATTATTCGAAAGACGAAGCCACTCACAACTCGGCGGTGGAAAGGCAGCCGGCGTGGACAAACGTAAATCGAGTTTGAACCTTTGATCAGTTTCTACCTTGAATCGTTGCAAAAAAGTGGAAATACAAATTATTGAGTTGACAATATAAAAGACTTTCAGCGGTAATTGCACAATGTTTGCAGAAGTTGCGTTTTAAAAATACGAAGTAGAGAGGGTGGAGGAAAATTTTAACGCATTTGTGGAAAAATATCGTTAAGATATAAATATATATATATATATATATATAAAATTTTTCTCCACCCCCTCTGTACTTCGTATTATTGAATTGACAATATAAAAGACCTTCAGCGGTAATTGCACAATGTTTGTCGTGCAGAAGTTGCTTTTTAAAAATACGAAGTACAGAGGGTGGAGGAAAATTTTAATGCATTTGTGGAAAAATATTGTTAAGATATAAATATATATATATATATTTATATTTATATTATAAATATATATATATAAAATTTTTCTCCACTCTCTGTACTTCGTATTTTTAAAAAGCAACTTTTGCACGACAAACATTGTGCAATTACCGCTGAAAGTCTTTTATATTGTCAACTCAATAATTTCCACGTCTTTGCAACGATTCAAGGTAGAAAATAAACTCGTAACTGGTCAAAGGTTCAAAGTAAACTCGAGTTACGTTTATCCACGCTGGCTGCCTTTCCACGACCGAGTTGTGAATGGCTTCGTCTTTCGAATAATATGTCAAACACCAAACGTTATAATTTCATAACGAACTACAATGAACTAAATATAAATATATATATATATATATATATATATATATATATATATACATATATATATCATCGAGTTTTCAACGAGTCAAATCGAATACGTAACGAACTCTGGTAGCCTCGTTATTGAGGGCCGGAAATCATGGCGTAGCCCTTTATCATCGGTTTCTTTTGTCGCGCGATAAATGACTCGTGTACAAGGTCGCATTCACGTACAGGGAGACTTCTTTGATGTTAAATTGCTTCGGGAAACGAGGCTGCTAACCATTTTACCTAGCTGTCAGAGGCTGCAGCTTAATTGTGCCACGGAGCAGGTCGCGCTATACCTTGACTACGCTCCTGGAACAGAGGCTTTTGACAGGAAATTGCCAGAATGAACGTTGCCCGACATTTCGTCGTTCGATGTTCAAAGTAAAAAATTGTACAAATTTCACTTCGATCTTCGAAGCCCACGATAGGGTTTGTCAAAATTCAGAACAACGAAGAATTCTTTTTCATCGCTACAATCATCATGGTCTCGAAAATTGAAATCTTCCTTTTTCAATGATCCCTTGAAACTCGATACGAGTTTTTCTTCATTCAATACGACTTTATTCAACTCTGAACGTTAGGATTAAATGACAAAACGTTAGGATTTCTTCGATGCAATGAAATCAATACAGCGAGTTTTAAGGTTTGATCTTTGGCACGACGATGTATGTAGATCTGGTTGCAAAACAAAATTTTTCAACGCTTTTACACACGTTTGATAATTTGGATAATTTTGACAAACGAACAGAAAAGTATTCTGTACTTTTGTTCGTCGTATTTATTAATATCTAGTTTTCTTTAAAATAAATTTAATTTATATATAATAATAATTAATTAAATATTATTAAAAATTAAATATTAAAATAAAATTTAATAATTAAATACTATTAAAAATTTATGGGATAAACTATAAATTTATTAATTTATATAATATTACAATTTTATTTTTAAAATTGTGATTTTAGTATTAATAAATAATAGAAAAATTTCATAATTTATTGATTTTTTTTAAAGATTATCATATTATAAAATTTATTATATATATGTAATTATTAAATATATATATTATTTTTAAATTATTAAATATATATATTATTTTTATTATATATATGTAATTATGAATTATCATATATATATAATTATTAAAAAAGAAATTTTAATTTTTAAAAACACGATATTAATGATTAAATTAGTTATAATATATATATATATCCCACTCGATTTATGCTGCGAAAACATTTTTGAGAGAAAGGAAAGTCCAGACCGTACCAGAGTGGAGGTTTCGCGCTTTAAAACGAGTGAATCGTTGCATAATCATTATTTTTTTTTCTCTTTCACGAAATTGCAACAGTTTCGAATATCCGACAACCTTCTTTTTCGTCGGAATTTCTTTCCATCGTCCACGTGAATTTCGACGACTCGCGTGAAATCTCGCGCGATCGAAGGCAAAGCGAGTGAAAGTTGAGAGCCGCAGTGGCGACGTAACGTTAAATTGGAGACCGTATATCCCGGGCGCACGAAATTGCAGGGGGTTCACTAAATAGCGGGCACTTTAGCACGACCTTCCGCTAATAAGATCCTTCGAGTGATACTCCGGCCGGCCGGGAGTGTTTAAAGTTGAACGTTAACTCGGATACCTTGTTGTCGGCGCGCGTTTTAACTCCTCGTCTCGCGCCACCGCCACCATCACCACCACCACCACCACTACCGCTCGCTTCGGTGGTTTAGATTCGCATCGCCACCGAAATCGTATTTATAACTTTCCGTCGTGGTGAAAAAAGGGGTAGAAAGAAAGAAAGAAAAAGAAAAATAAAAAGAAAAAAAAAGAAAAGAAGGTGGAAAAAAAAGAAGGAAAAAAGAACGACGTAGGGGGGCGGACAAAGGGCGCTTTTTATATTCGCTTTCGAGCTCTATTAGAGATTTAATGTACGTAACCGTACGAATGTGCATTACATCGATGTAATTACAGCGGTGGAAAGAAGTAGGCCAGTTTAAAGTGCACCGCCACGCGGCGTAGAAAACGCTGGAAATTCTTTTTTTGTTTTTTCTTTTTTTTTTTTTTTGTTTTTTTCTTTCTT